AGACCTCTGCCTCCTCCACTCCCTCCCATCAGGTGTTTCTATGCATTGAATCAAAACATCGTGTTTTACCCGCAGATAACGGAGGCTGAAGAAATCCATCGCAGCCACCCTGTTGGCACCGCACAAGCTCTTTAAAGGCCTCGTGTTTTCACGAGCGGCATCTCCACTGTAGTTTGAATCCAACACAGGGCTTCATATCCCTTTAAGTATTCCAGAGCCTTTGCGTATTTGGTTTGAAACTGTTGGACTAATGATGCCCTCTTATCCATGCTCAAATAGAAACATATGAAGGAAAGTTAAATAAAAGTAAATTCCAACACTTGATCAGGTAGTTATTTTCTCCCCTCCTCTCCAAAAAGCAAGCTTAAACCAAACCAGGCTGCCTGATTACAGATGAAAAATATTTTAAAATAGACCCACCCTGTTTCAGCTGGGACTTTTGCAAGCATTTTGCACAAACAGGGACTGAAAACCAATCATTTCACATCAAAACCTCCAGCAGCCTTCACTGCACGGGACAGCAGAAGCTGCAGGGCAGCACACAGACCCGGAGTCTCCATCTGCTGAAATGCCAAAAGCCACGCAAATCCTTCACCTTCCAGAGGAGCTGCAGAGACCATGAATGGTGCTGCGGGGAAAGAGACGGCCCAGGGGTTCACCAGCCGGGACAGACCCGGCAGTTTCCACGGTTCACAGCCTTGGTCTCCCAACAGCTGCTTGTCCTTTTCTCGCTCCTTCCCCTGGCAAGCACGTGGAAGCACCCACCTCCCGTAAGAACAACAGGTAACCGCAACCCCCAGGTCTGCTGATGGGCTCTCTGCAAGGTTTTCCTTCAGTCCTAACCCCTTTCCCTTTGAAGACGTCTGCCTGCCTTTAGAGAGCTCGACACCAGCATAAAGTCTTCATTAACTGAGTTTTTATCCACCACGTGCAGAGCTGGTGTCACAGGACCAAAACCGCAGGAGCGGAGCTCTCCCAGCGCTGCAGACGCGGGGTCTCAGCCCGCTCCTGGCCCCGCAGCACAAACCCCCCTTCTCCCACCACAGCCCCTGTTCAGCTGTAAAAGAAAACACGCGTGAGCTGAGAAGAACCAAAGTCTCTGGCAAGAGCACACATCCACGCCACACACACCTCCCTCCACGGGAAAGCGAAGGCAATGCGAATAATGAAGATTCGGCACCGTAATTAAAGAACTTTTTAGAGTCTTCAAGGTTTTAATTTGAACAGACGTTTCTACTGTGTTCTCAAGGTATCTACAGCAAAGTTTGCAGCCACTTTGTATCTGTTCTCCCCCCAATGGCTGAGCAATTTGAGCCATGATAGTTTTTCTCAGATTTGTTACTTTTTTTTTTCTCAATATATTTAACAGCACAGCGGCTGGGGTTCTGTACCCATACAGCATACATCTAACAATAGCACATAAAACTCCCAGCCCTGTTACTTATTTTATTTTAAAAACAAAATCAA